TATAGAAATCCGAAGGCTGAAAATACTTAACTAAAATTATGTGCAGCCTTGGGTGTACATTCTTTTTAAGCTTGGGTTGCATCTGATTTTCGACATTAGTCTGTTTTAAGTATTTTTCTCTTTGTCTACGTCGCTCATTTGTAGTAACTGTGTCGTTTAAAAATGCAACAATGCAAGATTTACCTCTGTGGCATTCGACGACAGCTTTTAAATAAAAAACTAGATGTTATATTTACGGTGTCAGTTCTGACTACGACCTTACGAAAACTACCTACACCACATTTTCAGCTAAATACCAGCACAACGTCCATTTCTCAGCACCTTGCTAACTTAGGTTATAGCTCTTGGCGCTTCTGACAATGACTTCTGTTTAGACACTTTAAAATCTGCCGCATTCGATATTGTAAAGAAACGACATTTATGGCTTCTGTGACAGAACTAATACCCGATCTACTTTTTCTGCCTCTTCTTTATTTGGAGTGTCTGTAGGCCCAGCTATAGTCTACGAGCTTATAGTCAATGTTTTCATCCAAAGTTGTGCAGGAAAAATTGTTCCTTCCTCTATGGTCCCATAAACTTTAAAAAAATGGGCAGCTGTCCGTGGAGAACGACCTCAGCATTTTATCCGCATTGAGAACATTTTATCAAATCTGACGAAATAGAATTGTATTAGCGCGTAAAATAAAGCAATAAATCTAAGTTTTCTCCGACAGTTGCAGTATCAGACAGAGCTCAAAACAAGCACTATTTAGAGGAAAGCACAGCACAGATTTCTGCATATATTTGCAAGAAAAATGAATTATTATAATTATTATTACCAACCGCAGTTGATGATTTTGTCCATTCTCTCTAATTCAGGCTGTTAGACATTTGACATTTCACATTTGTATTCAATGGTTACATGAGCATCTGGATTAAATACTGCTAAATTCAGCAAAAAAGTAGCTCATTGCAACACGTGCTGTGCGGGTAAATGTCCCCTGCAATGGTTTTTTCCCATTATCTAGTTGAAATCCAACTGAATTTTTCACAGATTCTAAACGGCTTAGCAACACAACAAACAGAAGTTTTGCTTAAAATTGAATCACTTGGGCGCTCTATATGCAAATTCTGTTTACGAAGCGCGGCTTACAATTTTGCCAAGTGCTGGGCTTGGAGTCGGAAATAGCATTTTTCATTAAAAATGCGCAGAAAACAACAAACCGTATATTTGTTGGTAAATGTATGTGCGTCGCAAAGTCCGAATTCACCGGAAGCGTTGTCGGGCGTGCAAAAATACTCGCAGTCACCGCTAAATAATAATGTTAAAATCGATCCTGTGTATGCTCTTGCACGCCACATTATTTTAACGCCAACTTGATGAAGCAAAACTCGATGTTTAGCTGAGAGACAGTTAAAGTGTTTCGGGCGCAGATACACAATCCTCAATATGTGAGTATCATTTGCTTTCTTTCGTTGATGGTTTGGTTTAAGTGCCTTTATATTTAAGATGATGAACACAATAAAAGGTCACTTATACCTTTGAGTTATGGGCAATCAAGTTACGCCCTCGCAAACCTGGCGGAGACATATGAACACCGAATCTAACGAAATGATATCCGCTATGCTAACTGTTATCATATAACCTATTAAGGCCACGAAATATTAGACTCGAAATCATGTACTTCGTATTAAAAGACGATGTAAAACATAATGTATATCGCTAGGGGAGCAATACCCCAAATAAACAAGCGTATTTTGCCCCGAGCGCGAAAACGGAACAAAGCAGAATTTATCCAGAACATTTTATTATGTATATATTATATATAATATAAAGTATATTATATGTTGTATATATATGCTGCGCGATAATCCGTATCATAGTCCCATTTAAGTAACCCTTGTTAATCGCCAACATATTTTAGAATTATAATTAACATTTCACGAGAGTGGACGGTGAATGTACATTCGACTTTCTATGCAGTATGTCTGTTTAGCAAATATATATATATATATTATAAAAGGAGAAGGCTCGTCGGAAACTCGAGGTATACTCGTGAATTTTCAAGTCGGTTACACCAACCTGTCGTCAGACGAAAAGGAAAAGTTTGAGGGAGATAATCCGACTGTGGAGTCAGGGGGACATCGACAATACATCGACAAGACAGGCGTTTATGTGTGGGGGTGAAGAACGTGTTTGGATAGGTGGCGGACGTTAGGGGGTGGTGTTGGGGGTTTCACACATGGTTCACTCTGTGGGGGAGGTGCTGAATCCATGATATTCTACATGGCCGAACATGGATTAGCAGTTGGTGGCTTAGGGTGGGCGCAAGCCGGCGAACCGTGAACGCAAGCCTTCGTATTGAGCGTCCAAGTCGACATGGCGGTTGATGCTAGTGCTATTAGATTGCCAAGCCTCTACAAACGCGGCACTCTAATAGCACTAGCATCAACCGCCATGTCGACTTGGACGCTCAATACGAAGGCTTACGTTTACGGTTCGTCGGCTTGCGCCCACCCTAAGCCACCAACTGCTAATCCATGTTCGGCCATGTAGA